CTCATGTGGCCTCTGGCAATTAAAAACAAAAGACAAGGGGCCGGCAGGTGGCATGGTGGTTGAGGGTGCTGGACTCCTACATGGTCAAGCATGGTTCAAGTCCCAAGACCTGACAGCTTGCTTTCTCACTTTCTCTCTCTCTCTCTCACTGTCCCTCTCTGGCCAAATTTAAATGAATAATAAATAAATACATACATACACAAATAAAGTTAAATAATTCTTTAAAAAAGGAAAAGAGACTAAAAAGGAAATTCATGTTTCCAAACCAGGTGGATATCTCTTTGATCCCTACTGCCACAGTGGGGGTGTGTGCCGCCTCTGAAGGCTCCTGCTTCACCCATCTCCTCAGGCACCTACTCAACCTAGCATGCTGTCCTCCCCCAGCTAGAGCCCTTCTCACTGGCATTCACACTTTGGTATCTCTCATCTTGAACAGCAAACAGAAAAAAAAGTCCCTTCCCTTATTTGATGGCCAAAAACATCTTTAAAAAGGACCATCATTTCCTCATTTCTCCATAGTGCATCTACTCTTGACATGTTCCAATCTAGCTATGGCCTGAACACTGCATGATTTCTCAGATAAGACATAGCATTACAGGGCCAGCAGGTGGCATGGTGGTTAAAGTGCTGGAATTCCCACATGGCTAACCACAGTTAGAGTCCCAGACCTGGTGGCTTTGGCTTTCTCTCTCTCTCTCTCTCTGGCAAAATTCGTGTAAAAAAATAATAACAAATAAACAAAATACATAAATAATTTTTTCTGAGAGGTTTTTGCTATAGGGCGTGTGTGCTCGCCAGACAGACAGAGACAGAGAGACAAAAAGCGAGAAATCACCCCCCAGGGGGGGATGGCCACGCTGCAATCCGTTCTCCTCCATTTCCCTCTTGGGATCCTTGGGCATGCACATGCACCCAACGTGAGTTTTAAGCCACCGGGTCCTGGACTTGAACCGCGGTCAACTACATGGGAGTCCAGCGACATAGCCATTATGCTAACTGCTGGTCCCAATACATAAATAATTTGAAAAAAAAACCATAGCATTACATAAAAAGTTGGTAAGTTTGTACTATAGTTAAGTACCTCCTGTTATTAAAAACATTTTATTAAATTTTTTTTTTTTTTTAATTTCCAGAGGACATACATGCTGCAGGCACAGAGATGGAAGAGGATGGAGGGAAAAGGGATAAAGCACTTCCAATGGGGCATGGTCACACCACAATCCCATCTCTATTTTTCCATCCTATCAGGATTTGGGGTGTATACACACACACACACACACACACACACACACACACATATGCAGCACTTCCAACGGGGCACCACAATCCCTTCTTTATTTCTACATTCAGTCATGATTTGGGGTACATGTGTACACACACACACAGTGTGTTTTTCAAGCCACCGGGGCTGGGATTCAAATTGTAGCTGGCCATGTGGCATCTGGCTCCCTTAACCACTAGGCTATGGGGCTAGCCCTGTTTTTTGTTTTTTGAAAGTTGTTAGTGTGTACACTTGCCAGAGAGGGTAAGTGAGCACCCTTCAATGGGTGTGATCATGCCACAACCTTCTTTCTCCCATTTCTCCCCCCCATCAGGATTCTGGACAAGCACATACACGTGACCTGTGTGTTTTCCAAGTGGCTCAGGCTGAGATCTGAACTACAGTTGGCCAAGTGGGATCTGGCTAACTTAACCACTGAATTACAGGGTCAGGCCTCTCAAAATATCTTTTTTTAAAGAAAATCCTTTATTAAATTCAACTTACTCATTCATTTACTTTTAATTTGACAGAGAGAGACAGAGAGAGAGAGAGGAAGAGGGGAAGTTAGAAAGCAAGCCACCAGGTCCAGGACTTGAACCACAGTCAGCCATGTGGGAGTGTCTAGCACCTTAACCACCATGCCACCTGCTGGTCCCTCAGAATATCTTTTAAAGTGCTGAAAGATAGATAATAAACCTAAAGAAGGCATATATCTGAGAACAGTTTAGTATAAGGAATACAGAAATAACTCTTTCAAATAGTAAGATCATTTATTCAATAAACAAAGAGTGCAAAAGACACAACCAAGTATTCCACAGAAAATGAGAACTTCATGCCAAATGAAAATTCTCAACCTAAGACAGAGAAATGTAAACCAAGACCATAATGAGACATATTACACACCTACCAGATTGGTGCAAATTAAATCAAGGAGAAAATCAGGTTTCAAGGAGGCTATGGAGCCACAGGAAACCATCAAGACATCACTTATAAAGCTGCAAACAGTAACATTCCCCAGACCCAGCCATTCCATTCCAAGTACACACAGCAATGCAGTCACAACAGCAACAATCGATGAGGGCAGCGAACAGAGAAAACGTTCACCAAGAGCAAAACAGAAAAAGCATGGACAGTCACATAACAGCACGCATGCAGAGGTGAAACAAACGAGCCACCCGGAAAAATCTCAGTAACCATGGTGAGTGAAAAAGCCAATGCCCGGAAACTATGGATACCAAGTTTTACTACTTTTAGAAGATTCAAAGCAAGGTGCAAGCAGGCGGCATGGTAGTTGAAGTGCTGGACTCTTACATGGCCAATCACGGTTTGAGTCTTGGACTTGGCAGCTTGCTTTCTCACTTTCCCTCTCTCTCTGGTCACTCAAAAATAATAGAAATGATGATAAATAAAGTTAAATAAATTAAAAAAAAAAAAACATCAAAAGCAATGAAAACCAAAGTACTTTTTTTGTGAAAATGCACTCAAGTGCTCTTCCAGAAGAAAGCTTCTGGTTTTGAGTATTGTTATGATCCAGTGAGTGATTTAATGCAAAATAAATTCTGATTACTGCACATAAGTGATAAAAATCACAACCTGCTTAATTAACACTTGAACTGAGGAGGGTTGAAGCTTTGAGAGAAGCTGCAACTGCTGTTGAGCAAGAGAAGGAAATCCTGCTGGAAATGACCCACAGTACCCAAAACAGCCAGGACACGAGGCAGATCAATGGTGGAGAAAGAGAAGCATTAAATCTGACTGCAAACTGTTTGATGGGATGAACTCTCATCGTCGAACTTTCAGTAGAAACACTAGAAATCTCCAGCAACAAGAATCTCTCAAGCATGCCACAAAGGTTATTGATGAGTTGGTCAATAAGTTTCTGGATGATTTGGGAAATGCCAAGACCCATTTAACGTCGCTCTACAGTGCATGTTTGTCTGAGATTCCACCTGGGCCAGGCGGTCAGAAACTTCAATCTATAGTAATCAGCTGTGCTCTTGAGGATCAGAAGAAAATCAAGAGATTAGAGACTCTGTTTAGAAATATCGAAAACTCTGGCAAGGCCATAAACCTATTAGAGCATTCTAAAGGAGCCAGTTCCAAAACTCTGCAAAAAAAAAAAAAAAAAAAATGCTGGGAACCAGCAGTTAGCGTAATGGCTATGTCGCTGGACTCCCACGTAGTTGACCACGGTTCGCGTCTCGGACCCGGTGGCTTAAATCTCACGCCGGGCGCGTGTGCGTGCGTGCCCAAGATCCCGAGAGGAGAATGGAGGAGAAGGGATTGCGGTGTGACCATCCCCCCTGGGGGGTGATTTCTCGCTTTCTGTCTCTATGTCTCTCTCTGTCTGTCTGGCGAGCGCACGAGCCCTATAGCGAAAACCTCTCCAAAAAAAAAAAAAATGCTGAAGGCAAATTTAATTAATCTTCAGACCTAAGAGCACTTACAGATTATGACGTAAAATACTATTTTAAGTGGTAACTAGTTCTATTTTACGTGATAACTAGTTCTTTATGTTAGGCATAACCACTTGATATTGACAGTTGTTCCAGATGGGAAAAATATTCCACTGTCATCAGTTTTGCAAATTACAATTAAAACTAGAAATATTAAAAAAAAAAAAAGTACTTTTTTGTGTGTGTGCACACACTAGTATATGCGAACACACAAATTATTTCTTTAAACAGTAAGAGAGGAGGCAGCAGATGGCACAGGTACTGGATTCCCATATGGCTGATCATGGTTCAAGTCCTGGACCCAACAGCTTGAAACTCATACCAGGTGTATGTGCGTGCATGCTCAAAATCCCAAAAGGAGAACAGAGAAGGGATTGCGGTATGGCCATCCCATCTTGGGGGTGATTTTTCTTGCTTTCTGGGCCTCTGTCTCTCCAGGGAGCACATGCACCCCATAGTAAAAAATCTCTCCAAAAAAAAATAAAGTAAGGAAAAGATTGGACCGGCTAGGTGGCATAGTTAAAGCAGCTAGATCCCACATGGTTCAAGTCCTACCTTGAAAAACATGCCAGGCACATGTGTATGCCCAAAATCATGAGAGAAGAATAGAGGCAATGGGATTACAGTGTGGCTGTCCTTCCTGGGGGATGACCTCTGTCTGTCTCTCTCTTTCTCCAGGGGACACATGTGCCCTACAGCAAATTAATAAAAAATAATTAAAATACGTTTTTTCTTTTTAAAGAGAAAGGCAAATGCAAAAATTCTAGTTGGTGACAGAGGGTTTGGTGGAATAAAGAAAGGGACAGGCCACCTTGGTGCTGACAGAAGACAATAGCTGAAGTAAGGGTGCTGGTCAGTAACAAGGACAAAGCACAACCGAAACTTGGCAGGTGCAACGTCCACGAGGACAAACACACTGACTGACGTACGCACTTTCGCACCTCAAGAATATTTGGTAATAAAGCTATAATCAGTGCTGGCAGGTGGCATGGTGGGTAAGGTCCTAGACTCCCCCCACATGATCAGCCATAGTTTGAGTTCCAGACTTGGTGGCTTGCTTTCTTACTTTCCCCCCTCTCCCTCTCTCTGGTCAAATAAAAAAACAATAATAGGTAATTCTTAAAGAAAGAAGCTATAATCACGGAGCACACAAAAATGGGGTATGGCGGCACCTCCCACCTGTATTGTGCAGACACAGCCTTCCCTCCATCACTCCTGATGCCAGAGGCCTGCCCAGTCGAGAGTGAAGAGACCTGAGCAGGAGGACTCACTGAAAGCGTTACCTATTGTATGTAAACTCCACGTCCATAGGTTCGAAGTTATATGCTTGTTCAAATTCTGGGTTAAGTTTAAGAGTTACATCTTCCTCGTGAATCTGAAGAAGAAACGAAAGATTTAACGTCCACATATCGCACTTGGTTTCTTGGAACAATCTTGTCTCTGTATTTAGCCGCAAATCATGAGAATTTCGTTCTATGGATTTAAGTTAAAATGTGGTATCTCAAGTCGGGTGTGGTGGCGCCCACCTTATGGCAAAATTTGGTATCTCAAGTATCTGTGAAACTAATTGAAAAAGATAAATCATTAGGCCACCAAATCACCCCAACAGGAGGAACTGGTCAACACTCGTCCACACAGATAGTACTCACGACTTCCACTGTCAGCTCTGGGGGTACGAAGAGTGCCAGGAGGGCCACCGGCACCAAAGGTAACAGTCACAGCCACGTGTTACCTGCTGTCGCTGCACTTTCACGCACAGGCTCCTGCAAGGCTATGCCTTCAAGTGGTGCAGGGAGCCGGGAGTCTAGGGGAGCCCTTCAGTTTAAGCTAGAGCTTAGGCAAAGCTGTTCAGCATGTTATTTTCTGGGCAAGCAGGGAAGAAAGTAAATTTCTGAGGAAAGAAGGGAAAGAAAATAGGAAGGACACCACCAGGCTGGAGGAGGAGCTCTAATTCCTTCCCAAGAAAGCACCCAGGCAGGGTATTGGCATTCTCAGCTAAAGAGGAGGCTCGTTCTTGGCTTCTGGATCTGAAGCCCTTTAGTCTGGGGATGAAGTCACCTCTGCATCTTCACGACAGGGGAGATAGCTTCCTACTAGGCTGCAGGCTGTGGCCCGCACCCCAGTGTGTGACATGATACTGGCAGGCGAGTACTCCAGACCCCCGGTCAGACCCGGTGCCCTGAGGTACAAAGACACAGGCCCTTTGTTAGAGGGAGGCCTGGGTATCAACATCTAGCATGGAGGCATTTCCTATCAGAGGGCTGGAAGTCAGTCTTTGTGGGACCAGGCCTTGCACACCTTTGCCTGTACACTGGCTGACCTCCGCCCTCAGAGCATAGCCCACCCACCTCAGGGCCGTGCAGGTGTGCCCTTGTAGGTCTCAGCACCACTCCCGATACTGTGCCCAGGGCATGGGCAGGACAGTGGCCTAGGAACCCAGAGCCCAGGCAGAAGCATCTGGAGAGCTGGTGCGAGGTAAGCAACAGAGCCCACCCTTTCCACAGACTGCAGTCCTGTTGCTCTACCTGCTCTGCCCTACACACTGGGGTGCCCACGTCTAACTCTAATAGATGCCGATGCCCTAACTCATGGGGTACCTGAAGTAAGAGTGTGTGTGTGTGTGTGTGTGTGTGTGTGTGTGTGTGTTGGGGAGCTTTTTGCTATAGGATGCGTGTGCTTGCCAGAGAGAGAGAGAGAGACAGAGATGCAGAAAGTGAGAAATCAGCCCCCAGGGGGGATGGTCATGCCACAACCCCTTCTCCATTCTCCTCTTGGGATCTTAGGCACACACGCACACGCACCTGGCATGAATTTAAGCCACCAGGCCTGGACTCGAACCACGGTCGACTACATGGGAGTCCAGCGACATAGCCATTCTGCCACCTGCTGGTCCCAGTAAATGTGTTTTACATGGCTGGAAATTTTAGCATTTCTTAGCTACTAACTTCCCTTTGTGCATAAAAAATTATTTAAAGAGTCAATTTATCTTAAAGTTTCCAAAATACGGTCAACACCCAAGGGAGTACCTTCCCCCAGAGAGCTGCAGGCAGGATGTTTACCTTTCTGCCCAGTCACTGGGTCAGGCCAACATTAACTCATTAAGGGTGTCCTCTCACCTCGGTCACATAGCCGATGTATTCGATGACGTGTCCATTGTACTCCTGAGTTTTTAAAATCAGTTTATCACCTAGTTAAAAAATACATCACCATGTATAAAGCAAATACATACTAAAACTGCAATTTTCTGTGCTGTCCTGTTAAACACGGAGGAAGTGGAATAAACCCAAAAGCGAGTAGCACCAACTGCTTTATAGCCCTGTGAGTGTGACAGACCCCGGGCTCCATGGAGCCGCTCATGACGCTGCAAGGCGTCTAACCCAAAGGTGCGGTCGAGCAGCCCCGAGCTTGTGCTGCTGGTCAGGCATGCTCTTTCCTTGCCATGGGGTGTCTGCATCTTCCTATAAGACGCTGAGTCACAGACGCACCTGCATAGAGAGAAGGCCGGCTCTCGGCCAGCCCTGGGACCTCCAGAACCAGCAGGCCCCCGTTCCTTTTCAAGGTGATACCACTCATGTTATACTCCTTCAGCTCTGTTTCTGCATGGATCTCCTCTAGCCATAGCAGAGTTGAAAACTTCTCCCTGTAGTTAGACATGTTCAAAAGCTGGAAAACATAATGGCCAGTCAGTAAGTGACACGGCCATCGGCTGTGACCCAGAAGTGAGCCGCTCTGACCTTGTAGGTCTACATGCCCAGACGCTGCAGATACCCAGGCCAGGGTTAGGGCTCTTGGCACACCTGCCCTTTGCCATCACTGGCCCCGAGTACCTCATAACTCCCACCATTCCTGTTCTTTTCCAGGCCACTGAGTTTACTCCGCAAGGGCAGAGTATGGCATCTACTGCCATCTGTGAAGAACAGAACTTGCTTCCACTTATGACCAAGATGGAACAACAAGGACCACATGTACTGTACCACCTCAGTAGCTTAAAAAGCGAGACACAGAAACGTGACCCAGTGGTCCCCGCAGTGACATCGGGCAGTACAGTGAGGGACCTCAAGGGTCCCTGCAGCTGCCTCAGTCAGGACCTGCCACAGTGCAGAGGAGAGCAGGCCGCAGGATCTCTGGGTGGAGTGGAGGGGCTGGGGTCTGAGGCACTGAGGGGACTGAGTGCTAGGGAGGAAAGCAAGGTACAGACAGAGAAGCTGGCAGGGGTCAGAGCCCCACTCAGCTGTCACAAGCCCCAATGAGGGCACAGGTATGAGCTGGCGCATGTGGGGTAGCCCTGTGGGGGGTTGGACCAGGGCTGTCCCTCAGCACGGGGACCCTTGGGCTGGGTTGCCCCTGCAGGGCTGCCCTACTCCAGCAGCCTGGTCTCTACCCAGGAGACACAAGGCGCACCCCTGCCCAGCCCGACAACCATGTCTCTGCTGGGAAGACTTGGGGAACGCGGCCTCCTGTCAGCAACTACTGGACTAAAGGAAGTAACTTCCCAAGATCACATGGAGCCAGGCAGTCTGGGCTCCCTCAGGCCAGAGTGGAAAGGCCCATTAAAGTGACACCCGGCAGAGCATCTGGGAAGGCATTAGTCCTACCTAAAAGTTACTCTGGTCCCACCTGAGAAGAGTAGAAGCCAGGCTTAGACATATCCAACCGGGGCCAGCAGATGGCCAGGTGGTTAAGGTGCTGGATTCCCACGTTGGTGACTATAGTTCGAATCCTGGTCCTGCTGGCTTGCTTTCTTTCTCTCTCTCTCTGTTTCTCTGTGGTGTGCACACATGCCCTATAGCAAATTAAATAATAATAATAACATTATTCTTTAAAGTACCCGACTGCTTGTATGTAATTTAACTGAGTCTCAGAACAAAGTTCAAAAATATTTATTTACTGGGGACCAGCAGTTAGCGTAATGGCTATGTCACTGGACTCCCATGTAGTCGACCGCGGTTTGCGTCCCAGACCCGGTGGCTTAAAACTCACGCCAGGCGCATGTGCGTGCCCAAGATCCTGAGAGGAGAATGGAGGAGAAGGGACTGCAGCGTGGCCATCCCCCCTGGGGAGTGATTTCTCGCTTTCTGTCTCTCTGTCTCTGTCTGTCTGGCGAGCGCACATGCCCTATGGCAAACAAACAAACAAACAAATAAATAAATAAATAAACCTCTCAAAAAAACCTACTTATTTATTTACTTATTTTTTTAGTTTTTGCTATAGTGTGTGTACCTGATGGAGACAGACAGGTAAAGGAGGTGAGAAATCATGCCCTGGGGTTTGGCCATGTCATAGTCCCTTCTCCTCTAGGGATTCTGGACATGCACACACGTGTCTGGTGTGATTTTCAAGTTGCTGGGTCTGGGACTCCAAGTGCACAGTTGGCTACGTGGAAGTCAGCCACTTTAACATCCATGCCACCAGCTGGCTCTCTCAGAAATATTTTTAGGAAAAGAAAAATATCCAATACCCAGCACAGCCAACTTCAGCATCCAGATGAAGACTACCAAGCACAGGAACAGTAGAAACTACAACCTGACTGAGAAAAACCTGCTAACAAACCAGAACAGAGACAGCCCAGCAACAGGAGGGGTGGGCGGCGTGCAGACACAGTGTAGACTTCACGGGGGTGCCTGAGGGAAGGTTGGCAAGCGCCAGCCAGACACAGAACAAGGCCCAAAGGGGCCTCATGGGGATGTCCACAGCTCTGACGCGAAAAGCATGAGGGCTTGCGGGTGCTAATGACAGCCAGAGACGCACAGACGCCACCTCACACAGAGCAGACGGGAGGGCAGAGCTGAGGGTGCGTGCCCGCTCCCCCTCCACAAGCACCGATCTACCTGGGGAGGGGCAGGCAGCTGGATCCCCATGGAGAGCTGTGACCAGGGCCAGCATCTCAGTGAGCCCTAAGCACCAGAGAGAGGGAGAAGATGCACGGCACGGCATGCCGCGTGCCATCCCTCAGCAACAGTGACAGAGGAAAAACCAAAAGCAACCAGAAAAAAACCACAGCACACGACAGGCAAGAGGACAGAGGTGAGACGTGAAGCTAAAGCAATCACACGGGAAGAGAGGAAGCACCAGGAGGTGAAGGAGAGCAAGGCACAGGTGGGCCGCACCGAGGGGCTGCAGCTGGGGAGGCTTCCAGCAGGGGACAGGGAGGTGGCAAATCAGCAACCCCTGACCACGTCAGAACTAGAGCAGGAGACCAAGCCGCGCCCAAAGCCTGCAAGAGGAAAGACACCAGCTCAGAGCAGAGGTCAGTGGAGAGAGAACTGCAAGTACAACAGGGAGAAACCGATGAAGCCGAAGCTGGTTCTCTGGAAAAATCAACAAAGCTGACAGCCCTTTGGCTAGGTGGGATGAAGAAAAACAAGAGCAGACTCAAATGACAAAGTCGGAGACAAAAAGAGATGTCGCTAGCAGTCCTCTGGACTAGAAAGGGAACGCGGGTCACTGTGGCCTCGAGCCAAGATGAGAGGTGAAGACGCCTAAAGACAGACCACCTTCCAAGTCGGGCTGCCAAGAGGGGACATGTGAGGGGACTCCCAGCTCCAAGGAGAGCGACCAGTCACCACACGGCCCTCTACGAAGCAAAGCCCTGGATCTGATGTCTCACAATGAATCCCACCAATCATTTATAAAGAATAGCAATATGTCTCAAGTTCCCCCCAAAACTAAAGACTCTCTAACACTCTCCAGCCTAATTATTACCCTGATGCCAAACCCAGGAGAAGACAACTCAGGAAAAGGAGACCACAGACCGACACTCCCTCGTGAGCACCGAACGAAGCAGATCAACAGCGACGGAACTCGGCAGCCTCGTCCAGGGTTACACACCAGGACCAGCTCGGTTTAATCCTGGGGTGCAACCAGTCCTGACATTCAGTGTGTGAGTCAGGAAGCCTGGTGACAACTGCCCCAGCAGGGCAGCAGACCTGGCGGCACGACCACCACCCACCCTCAGTTTTAAGGGATGTGACGGTGGCCCCTCTCTGATGCACCTGAAATGCTCAGCTGCCTGTGTAAGAACGAGCCAGAATGAAGCCATGCCCTGAGGACGACTCGGCCGGGCTCTCTCAGAACACAGCCCATCAGGAGCGGCGCAAGGTACATGTGCCACAGGCCCCACCTCCCTACCTCGGCGAGCAGCGGCTGGAAGGTCAGGATGTCGATTTTCTGCTCCACACATCTTCTGAGCCTGTCTGGAATCGGATACTGTGGGAGGAAGCTTGGAAGCTGCCGTCTCGAGTTCCTTTAAAAATAAACCCAGTACTCACTCACCGGGAGCTCTTCACAGGGCACGTTCACATGGACGTCCTCCCCTGGCTAGGAAGACCAGAGCACACCCTTGCCCTCGCTTAGAGGGGAACTGATGTGTGAGCTGGCAGCCTGTGAGCCTTCGTCCTGGCTGTGGAACCCTCCTGTCATGTATGCCTCTGCTGGGTGCTCTGACTGCCCGGGCCCACGGGCAGGTGGAGCTGTTCTGCTGTGGACACTGTTTCTGAGCTTCCGATCAGTGAAGCCTCGCTCTTGCTCTGGTGCTAAGAGCTCACACGCCAGGACCCCCCTCTGCAGCAGAGCACACCCTGAGGAAGGCCACTGGGCCTGGGTTCTGCCTGGGACTGGTTTTTGTTTTTATCTCAGCCTGGAATCTGCCTGCGGAAACTCAGCCTGGCCCTCCAGCACAGGCCCTTCGCCAGGAAGGGCGCTATCAGGGGCCGCTGGGACTCTGCCCTGCCACTGCTGCTGCTGAGGACGGGCCCACCGGCACAGCAGAACAGACAGGGCAGAGTGAGCCAACGAGCCTCCAGCTCCCAGGCTGTCGGCTGTTTCAGCCTGTGTCTGTGTGGAGAGTGGGAGGGGTGGATTCCCCACCTCCTGTCCCATCACTCCCCCTCACCTGGGTTCTGCCCACTCAGCCCTTACCCTGGGCTCACAGAGCAGAGCACTGAGAGGGACACTGCGGCCACCCAGAGACACGCAGCCACCCTGGCAGGGCACCACCTACCATCTGGCAGACGGGCATGCCCTCCCCACAGGGTGTGGCAAGGCTTGTTAGTGCATGCATGTCAAGGGGATCTGGAGAGCGGGGGACACTCGGGAAGGGATGTCCTTGCACATGGAGGTGGCTGGCCTGGAAAGTGGCTCTGGATTCACACCAGGTGCTACTGAAGCCAGGACGGGATGAGGTGTGGGCCGCACAGAGCTATAGGACTGACAGGCCACTGTGAGGAAGAAGAGAATGAGAACGAGGTGGCCCGATGCTGGGCCCGCGGGACTCCAGACAGTGCTAGAACCAGCACCCACCAGGGCCCACTTGGGCAGGCCCAGACATGCAGTGTTCCAGGCACACGCAGGACCCAGACCAGCGCTTAGGACTAACACCGTGACCGCCAGGCAACCCGTCCTTGCTTAGGGATGCTCTGTGTTTGTGCTCAAAGTGAAATGACAGACCAAGGGGCCATGCCTGGATCAACCACAGGGACCTGTTCTGAGAAATGCATCCTCACGCAATCCCGCTGTGCGAACAGGAGGGCATGGCCTCTGCGATCCTGCGATCCTGGAAGGCATGGTCACCCCACCCCGGGCCATGTGGGGCAGTCTACGTGCTCCTACCCTTGTTGGGTATGGGCCGCTGCAGACCCCACGTCGGGCGGGCACGCCTGCACAAGTGCTAGCCGGCTGCATGCTCCCCTCTGGGCAACACCTATGACTAGACGCTGCCTGGCCACTAGAGGACACCCAGGGGCTCTCAAACTCAATCACCTGGGACCCTACTGCTTCAGGCCACGGTAACTTCTCGCTCCTTGTCTTGGCGCATCTCCAAGGTGTGTGGCCCCCACATGATCAGGTCATTATCACCTACAGAGTGACTGCTAGGACCAGACTGAGTATTACAGGCCTGACTCCAGTTAATCCTCCAACTCTGTGAGGCAGGAACTGTGTCTGGCAAAGGGGGGCCAGTAGGTGGTGGTGTGGTTGAAGTGCTGGACTCCCACGTGGACTCCATGGAGTCACAGCTGACTACAATTCAAGTCCAGAACCTGGCGGCTTGAAACTCATTCTGAGAATGTGTGCATTGAGCACCCAAAACCCCAAGAGGAGAACAGAAGAAAACGGACTGTGGTGTGGCCATCGCCCTGTGGGGTGATTTCTCATTTTCTCTCTGTCTCTGTCTCTCTTCCAGGGAGTACATGCACCTTACAGCAAAAATTTCCCTCAAAAACAAACAAACAAATTTTAAAAAAGGAGATTAAGGCAGGGTCAGCAGGTGGCATGGTAGTTAAGGAGCTTGACTCCCATGTGTCTGACTACAGTTCTAATCTTGGACCTGGCAGCTCAAAACTCATGCCAAGTGTATGTGCATGCATGCCCCAAATCCCAGGAGGATGGAGAGGGGATTGTGGTGTGGCCAACCCCCCTGGAGGGGGGAATTTCTCATGTTTCTCTCTGTCTCCTGCAAGCATACACACACCCTATGGCAAAAACCTAAACAAAGAAGCAAAGCAAAACAAACAAAAATAGGAGAGTAAGGCCCACGAAGGTTAGGAGACGGCCCAGACCACATGGCTTCTTCGGGGCCATCACCAATGGACTCACTCGGTCGGTGACCAGCTGCACAGCGCTCTTCTCTGCTGACAGACCTCCCTTCAGTCTGCAACTGAGCAAACTCTGTGACCCCTTGTCCAGACTGTTACTAGGGCAACCCCTACCTTTGCTATTCTGAACTTCCAGTACCAGCAAAGTCTTTCCAACCACCCTCAGTGGGCCCTGCGGCAATACCGGAGCTCGAGCCCACTGGCTGCGGACAAATATTCACACTCCAGACAGTGACATCATCGAGCACCCCCGCACGTCCACAGTCAGGTGCTTAGCATGGAACTTTAAGAAAAGACCTCCTTGTCAGAACTTTCTGGCTTCCCAACTGCACAGAGAGCACGTGGGCCTAGAGCCCTTCTCTGAGACCACCTGTCCCAGTTAAATCTCAAGTTCCCCAGCCACGAGCCGCCAACAGGTTATTTGCTTTTTCAACTTGATTCTTTTTTTTTTTTTTTGGAGAGGTACTTTTGCTATAGGGCGCATGCGCTCGCCAGACAGAGAGACAGAAAGCAAGAAATCACCCCCAGGGGGGGATGGCCACGCTGCAATCCCTTCTCCTCCATTCTCCTCTCGGGATCTTGGGCACGCACGCACACGCACCTGGCGTGAGTTTTAAACCACCGGGTTCGGGACGCGAACTGCGGTCGACTACGTGGGAGTCCAGCGACATAGCCATTACACTAACTGCTGGTCCCTCAACTTGACTCTTAAACAGCACCACGTCTTCACATGGGCTTCAGGTAACAGCTGCTGTGCGGCCCCAACACAGATCGCACTGAACACTAGAGCTGTTTGTGAAGGCCAGACTGGCTGGCACTTTGCTGACCCACAGAGACACAGAAGCCAGAGTCATGCCACCCTCGGAGATGGCTCCTCCCGACAAAGCCACCAGGCTGCCTGATGTACCAAAGCGTAGGCCACCCCTCTGATAGTACCTTTTCTGTGTGGTCACGACAACAGTAGTCTTCGTGGATGCCAATGCTGGGGAGCTTTTAGGCTTTTTCCAAGAAAATGGTTCACGAACAGCTATTAGTGACTCCTCACCACTGACGACGTTTACTTCAAGGTATCGCCCGATTAGGAAATTAGAAAAACAAAGCAAAAGGAGCTCCTTGCACCGGCCAGAATTCCTTGGAAAAAACATGGAAGTCAGCGTCAGTCAACACCAGACAGGCAGCCGTGAGCGACATTGCCCGCTGTATACACAGAGGGCATGGGCTGCCGGTGTCACCCGTCCCGAACAGTAACTTTCACAGAGGGAAAGGGACTTTCTGAAATAAGTGATATTTTCCCAACATAAAATAAAGCACCTAAACAGTCTTTTCTGCAATTCTCGAATTTAAGGACAAGAAAACGTTCTCAGTATTCTGGGCCTAAGTCAGAGTGCACAACACAGTGGAAACCAAGCCCTGCAGGCTCGCCACCCCACCCCGGCTCCTGGTCTGAGCTGGCTGCATCTCGCAGGCTGACCGCAGGAATGGTGCCTGCCGGTCACCTCGGCTTTGGGACTGATGGGACAGAAAGAAGGCAGCTGCTCTTCTTAAATCCAATCTGATTGGCATTTAAAATTTTTAAAAAGAATTATTTTAATTAACTTTATTTAATTAATTTCCTTATTTTAACTTCACCAGAGAGGGACATAGAGTGTGTGTGTCGGGGGGAGTGAGAAAGCAAGCTGCTAGGTCCAGGACTGGGACTGTGGTTGGCCATGTGGGAGTCCAGCACCCCTAACTACCATGCCACCTGCCAGGCCTGGATTGGCATTTTAAAAGATATTTAGAATTAGCAAGGTTGGAAGAGTGCTGACAGGTGACTATGCCAGGTCTATATGGCAGCTGGCAAGTGACCGTGCACGTCCAGCAGCCTGAGCAGTGGGGGATATAGGGCTCACAGGGTGGCAGGAAGAGGAAGACCCCATGACAGAGGTCCCACTGGATGAGTGACTGGAGTGGGGGTTTGGCTTGGCATCTTGGCCCACGGGCAGGAAGGCAGCATGACACTCCTTCCTCAGCACGTCCCTTTGGGTCTGGGCCAGGGCTAGACATAGACAAAAGTCTCGAGGCTCAGCTGAGGGAACTGAGGGGCACTGGAAGGGAGCTACCGAGGTGGCAGAGGACAGAGACTCGGACATGGCTGGGGGAGCTGCCCACACCCACGAGCATGGTTAACACCTGCTTTCTATGCACAGCGGAGTCAGGTCAGCGGCTGAGGGTGGGGCTGAATGTCGAGGGCACAGCACCCACCTCAGGCAGGGGGGACTCATCCCTGAGGACGAGCTGAGCGTCGAGGGCACAGCACCCATCTCAGGCAGGGAGGACCTGTCCCTGTCTGCCAGACGGCGCTGCTTCTCACTGAAGGGCCGTGGGCGCCTTCTAACACCCAGCCCAGCAGTGCATACACACACAGCCATCCCCGCAGGGACCTCTCCATCCCAGGCACGTACTTTGCTTCACACGTAACCATGACGAAGGTTTTGCCCCCTGGAGGGACGAGCTCCCCAGCCTCAGGCTCCGCTGTGCGCTGCTGTGCAGGCCCAGGCTCTGTGGTTCGCTCCTGTGGTCGGCTGCTGTCTTCCCCTCCATTTTCTCTTCTACAGGTACAGTCATCTGGGAAATGACATTTCAGCCCAAAGTCAGACCGACAGGAGCGTTATCTGTAATAGTGCTGGTGTGCTGTGGGAGAACGACTGCTTACACACACACACACACACACACACACACACCCTGGCAGATCCCTGGATGGCGGCTGGAAAACGGCAGGGAAAGCGCCAGGTGTTGGGGACCACGGACCACCCAGTCCCTGGGGGACTCGCAGCATATGGCCATCCTGGGTGCCGCTGGCTCTCTCTCCCTGGTTAGCCACACTCGGAAAGGCCCCTGAGAAACACTGTGGCTCCAGTCAGCCTGTTTCTGTCCCTGTCTCTGCCCCAGGACACCAGAGGTAGAGACTCCAAAACCAGAGTCTCAGGTCAAGCACCGCAGCTGTGCACATCTCCGCAGAGGCTGCCACCCTACCTGCGGGGACACCTCCAGCACCCGTCACACTGCGCTCCAAGGTCTGGTAGGCTTTGTGTTTTCTGCAGCTATTTGAGGAGGTAAAATTTTCATCTGAAGCATTCTTCTCCTCCTCAGGAACAGGAACAAGAGATGTGAGCGGGCATGTTTGGTCTTTACCCAGCATTTGGACTCTGAACTGTTTAGCGCTATCCCAGCAAGCCAGTTTGCAGCTGACTAAGTTCTGAGGGACATCACCTTTATTCCTGGAAAACCAAAATTAGACAAGGACAGGCAGGATTCCTAAAGGAAAATTACTGCCACCATAAATGCAGAGCTCAGTCTAGCAAATGGTGACTGCAAATACCTTCATCAGCACAGGATGGGCATCGCTTATCTGCAATACTTGGGAGCAGGGCACTGGATTTCCTCAAGTCCTGGAATGTCAGCACTCACACCCTGTGTCTCTATCTAGAAGGGACTCGAGTCTACCCGTGAATGCATGCTCAGACACCCCACACCCCGCCTGAGGGGCACATGCACTCACTGGAGCGACAGAGAGAGAGGAAGTGAGAAACCACCCCCCGGGGTGACCACGCCACAATCCCTTCTCCTTCATTCTCCTCTCAGGATCTTGGCATGCATGCACACATGCCCAACGTGAATTTAAGCCAGAGTTCAGGACTCGAACCATGGTCGACTATGTGGGAGTCCAGCGAGGTAACCATTACACCATCTGCTGGTCCCCATAGCATTCTGTTTTGACCGCAACCTCTCACATGAGGTCAGGTCTGAACCTCCCACTTGGCACTCAAAAAGTTTTGGTTTTTGGACCATTTCGAATTCCAGGTTTTCAGATTAGAGATATTCAAACTGTACAAGTCAAAAGGCTATTTGAGAGTAAAAATGTTTGAAAATATTTTCACAAAATAGAATAAATGGGAAAAATCAAGTTAATTCTACAGGAATTTTTTTTTTGGGGGGGGATTTTTTTCTATAGGGAGCATGTACTCACCAGAGACAGAGACAGAAAGTGAGAAATCACCCCCCCCCCCGGGGGGGGATGGCCATGCCGCAATCCCTTCTCCTCCATTCTCCTCTTGGGATTTTGGGCATTCATGCACATGAGTCCGGTGTGTTTCAAGTCGCTGGGTCTGCGACTCGCATCGCAGTCAGCCACGTGGGAATCCAGCACCTTAGCCACTACCGCCTGCTGGTCCCGCTACAGGAATTTGTAAATCACAGTGAAAAAACCAGTAACAGGGGGCCAGCAGGCAGCGTGGTGTTTAAGGTGCTGGAATTCCCACACGGTTCACTTCGGTTTGAATCCCAGACCTGGCGGCTTGCTTTCTCACTCTCCCTCCCTCTCTCTCTCCTTCTCTGGCAAAACTCACGTAAAATAAATAAATAAATTTTTTTTTTTGGGGGGGAGAGGTTTTTGCTATAGGGTGCGTGTGCTCGCCAGACAAAGAGACAGAAAGACAGATAGCGAGAAATCACGCCCCAGGGGGGATGGCCACACTGCAATCCTTTCTCCTCCATTCTCTTAGGATCTTAGGCATGCACGCACACATGCCTGGTGTGTTTTAAACCACCAGGTCTGGGAATCGAACCGCGGTCGACTACATGGGAGTCCAGCGACATAGCCATTACGCTAACTGCTGGTCCTGTAAATAAATAATTCTTTAAAAACAAACACACAGTAGCCGGTGGCACACTGGCTGGGGTGGCTAGATCTCACGTGGCTGACTACAGTCTGAGCCCCAGACGTGGGGAGCTGGGACATGTTAGGCAAGTGAGTGTGCGTGTGTCCAAAACCCCAGTAAGAGGGAGAAACGAAGAAGGGGTTATGGCATGCCCATGGCCTCTGGCCCACGGGAGGTGTGTGTCTGTCAGTTTTCCTCTTTCTGGCTGTATGAGCCTCGGGCAAATTCAAACGAACAAATGAACAAGCACAGTAATATAACTTCAGGTGCGGACTTACTCTATCCAGATCACCACGCTTTTACTTTCCCCTTCTTTCAGTGTTCCAAAGTTGGCCACCCGGGTGACTTCAAGGCCCCCTTTGTTTTTCAGTAAAAATGCTCCGCAGGCCTCCTCTGCAGCCTCATTGGTGGCAGCGAAGTCTCTGAAGAAAGTACAAAAGTGGGTAACCCTGAGGGACAGTAGTGCCACTGTCCCCTCCTCCCCTGCCATGGCCTCAAGGACAGACACTAAACGGGCCACCTAAACATGGGCGGGTCCCCTCACAGCTGGAGCTCCTAGGGAGGCAGCAAATCATCTTAAGAGAAGGTAATGACAAAGCCCAGCGAGTCTAGAAAGGAAGACAATGCTGGTGACATTGCCAAGGGCTGCAGGAGACAGGTCACAGACCTGCTGCTCCAGACCCCCTTCTGAGCAGGGCTGGGGCTGCCGGGCCTCTCCAGGGGTGAACGTGGTCTCCACCGTTCTTCCCAGGCACCTCCCGGGCTCCAGGAGAGGAGGGCGATGTGCCCTGCTGATCTGGGACCCACGAGTGTTTCGCAAACTTCTGATGCTTTCAAGAATGAGAGAGTAAGTGTATGATGACTTTTTCTCCTTAGAAAAGATCTCCCTTCCCCTCACCACAGGCTCCTTGCTTTCCTTTGTTCCTTGAGAAGAGGCAGCATCCTCTCCTCCGTGTGCCACATGCTCTTTCCAGAGGGTAAACCTGGCCCCACACCGCCTCCCTGGCCTGCAGCTCCCAAAAAAGCGGGGCATCTGCAGTGAGCCCCATTCACATGCTCAGTAAGGCACCCAGCTGCTCAGTGGTGCCACCCCGAGGGCCTGCCCTGGCTTGCAGAGGTGCTCCATGGCTTCTGGCCCCTTCTGGCCTCTCCTCCACATCATGCTCCACACCGGGGTGGAGGGCAGTGGCGGCAGGTCTGTGTGACTTGCTCTGTCCTGTCACCCAGACAGGGAACTAGCATGCAAAGGAGCGGCCTGGCTACTACGAAGAAGACCAGCACTCCCGCTCGCAGCCATGGGCAGGGGCAGGCAACCATGGGCAGGGGCAGGCAGAGAAGGCAGCTCTACTCTGTGGTGGCATAGTGGTTAAGGAGCTGAACTCTCACATGGTTCAAGTCCCGAGCCAGGCAGCTTGAAACTCACTCCAGCACTCCAGGCATATGTGTGTGTGTGTGTGTGTATGTGTGTGTGTGTGTGTGTGCCCAAAATCCTGAGAGGAGAATGGAGGAGAAGGGATTGTGGCATGGCCATCCCTGGGTGGGGTTGGGGGGGGTGATTTCTCACTTTCTCTCTGTCTTTCTGCTGAATATAAGCATCTTACAGGGAAAACAAAACAAAACAAAACAAAACAAACAAAAAACCCTCTCTAAATACATATATATACACACACACACATATATATATATAAAATATAAAAAGAAAGGAACAAAAAGAAGAATGAGCAGGAACAGAAGAGCAGTCTGTGGCAGCACAAACAGACTTCTTCCAAGTGCCTACGGGTGCCCCCAAGAAGCCCACAGCCAGGCCCCTCGGGCCACGCCCCCTCACATGGAAAGGATGGCACAGCTCTGCCCTGGCAAGGTCCCGCACACACACGGCTGCAGCCCGGGGAGGAGGTATGTCCTCACCCACCACACAGGGGTCTCCTGCACCACTTGGTGGGCCGCCGGGCCAGGCCGAGGGAGAGCTCTGGTGTACCTCCTCACCGGGGGAAGAGAGGAAGAGTGCCCAGCTCACAAGATGGACCATGGCACTCTCGGACAGGAGGGTCTGGGGGGAAGGCGGCCTTGCCACTTCCTGGCCAGCAGCCTCCTGCATCCCGGCCCGCCTCCCTTCCTTCCCTAAGACGAAGCCCTTGGCTGGTTACCCACCGCCTTGTCACTGGGGTCACGCACAGCGCCCTCCAGACGTAGCAGGACTGGCTGCTCTCCACCACCACGGCGCTGACCACGTCGTATCTGCGAGGCACGTACCCGCCAGGCAGTCTCAGTGAGTCCAGGGTGAAGAAGATGCTGTCCTCTATCACCCCGTTTCTCCCACAGAGGCTGGAGATGCAGACCTGTGGGCACAGCAGTGCTGCACTGAGATGGCACCGCACGCCCCGGGCAGGCCTGGGCCTGGGGGTGGGGCCTGCCTCAGAGTAGAGCCAAGGCCCAAAGGCAACAAGAATGACAGAAGGGGCTAGGCCAGGCTGTGGTGGCCGATAGTCACTCCCTGCCCTGTCAGAGCGGGCTCACACTTCTACTCCACCCTGCAGACTGCTCAGTCCAGGCTCCACATCCACGCCCAAGCCCAGCCCACATCCCACGGACTCCTTCCGACAGTCTTCTCACACAGGACAGTCCACGGGGGTCACGTCACTCAGACCCTAACTCTGCTAGCACTCGGGGTCGGTGCCCAGCTCCATGTGGAAACCGCATCCTCAACAGGAAACAGGCTCCCCTTTGGCCAAGACTGAGCTTTATTTGCCTGACTCGCACGTCCAGGAGGACCGTGAGCCACAGAAATGGTCCCCAGTGACAGGCCTGGCACAGACATGGGCAGAGTGGCTGTCTACACGCTACCTTGTCCACGCGCTTGTACCTCAGCGGCTTCACAGAGAGGGCCTCACTGCTCCACGTGCCTGGCCGGATCCAGTACTCAGCCTCTACCCAGTCTCCCTTACAGGGCTCAAAACCTGGAAAGGCCGAAGTGGAGGGCACAACTTACATTGAGGCAGTGGTGCACAGACGTCGTCCCTCTGGTATCTGAGATGCATGTAAGTATTTTAAAAGTGTTCTTGGGGGGAACCAGCAGTTAGCGTAACGGGTATGTCACTGGACTCTCCCATGTAGTCAACTGCGGTTTGCGTCCTGGACCCGGTGGCTTAAAACTCATGCTGGGGGGACCAGCACTTAGTGTAATGGCTATCTCGCTGGACTCCCACGTAGTCGACCGCGGTTCGAGTCCTGGACCCGGTGGCTTAAACTCATGCCGGGCGCGTGTGCGTACGTGCCCAAGATCCCGAGAGGTGAATAGAGGAGAAGGGATTGCGGTGTGGCCATCCCCCCTGGGGAGTGATTTCTCACTTTCTGTCTCTCTGTCTGTCTCTGTCTGTGTGGCGAGCACATGTGCCCTATAGCAAAAACCTCTCCAAAAAAAAGAAAAAGAAAGAAAAGTGTTCTTGGGAGACCAGTAGATGGCATAGTGGTTACGTCGCTAGACTCCCACGTAGTCAACTGTGGTTCGAGACCCAGACCTGAAGGCTTAAAACTCATGCAGGGGACCAGCAGCTGGCATAAAGGCTATGTCACTGGACTCCCATGTAGCCGACCGTGGTTCAAGTCCTGGACCAGGTAGCTTAAACTCATGTCGGATGCATGTGCGTGCGTGCCCAAGATCCTGAGAGAAGACTGGAGGAAAAGGGACTGTGGTTTGGCTATCCTCGGGGGGGTGATTTCTTGCTTTCTGTCTCTCTCTGTCCCTCTTGCGAACATACGTGGTCTATAGCAAAAATTTCCCTTAAAAATAAAAGATCGAGAAAAAGAGTAAGCTTCCTGATGGGGTGAGCCAACTGCTCTTGGGCACACAGCAGCTGACTGTGGTTAAGGCAGCAGAAAACCCGACCCCTATGGTCTTCCAACACGCAGCCCGGCAGGCTAAACCGGCTGCAGAAAGCATCTCCCAGGCAGGTCTTCCCATTCCCACCCTATGACAGCGCAGGCAGCTTGGCTCCTCCTTGAGAGAAGGCGGAGTCCTGCTCCTCTCGGTCTCTGGTGTTCGCTCCACGGCCAAGGCCACTGGAAACAGGTGCATGGCACAGAGCCACTGACGTGGCCCTGGGAGAGGCACAGAGGAAGTACTTCGCAAATCAACTAAAAACCAATACAGTGAAACACGTTCTCAGAAAGGTACAAGGCTATCCTGTGGCCCTTCAGGTGTTTTAAAATAGTAGTTCTGTACACCCGCGACCTCATTAACTGTGCCTGTGATACAGTAACCTCAGGGAGGAGCGACCAGACATGAGGTGCTGCCTCCAATGGCGACCCAGCACCTGAGAGCTTCTGCATGGAGCCAGCACGCAGCAAGGCCTTTGCAGTTCCCTTGCAGTCCCCAGACCCTCTCACAAACCAGGTATCCCCACATCTCACCCCTTCATGATGAGGGCAGCCACCTCGATCTTACCCATAAAAATTACTCAACGATGGATGAGCAATTAGCATAATGGCTATGTCGCTGGACTCCCATGTAGTTGACCGCAGTTCGAGTCCCGGACCGGTGACTTAAACTCACGCCGGGCACGTGTGCGTGCGTGCCCAAGATCCCGAGAGGAGAATGGAGGAGAAGGGATTGCAGCGTGGCCATCCCCCCTGGGGGGTGATTTCCTGCTTTCTGTCTCTCTGTCTCTCTCTGTCTGTCTCTCTGTCTGTCTGGCAAGCGCACGTGCCCTATAGTAAAAACCTCTCAAAAAAAAAAAAATTACTCAACGACAGAAAACCTAATTTGAAGAAAAGCGTACCTTCACACACACTCTCCAGGGAGAAGTATGTGGTCTGATTGATGTAGCCAGCACCTTCCATCAGGGAGGTCACACAGCCAATCAGCACACGGGGGTGGGAGTCTGACAGTCCTCCATGGCTCCTGCTGTCATCTTCCCATTTATCAGAGACAGCTTCCACCTGCAAGACAGACCAACTGCTGTCTGAGCCGCGTAGAGAAAGCTCCGAGGCAGGCCGGCTGCCGGCCAATGTCAGCCAATGCCTGCCTCAGGTCGTCTGGGCTAGTGGGGAAGAGCACGGCTCTGCAGGTGTGTCTAAGAGCCCTTTCCTGGTCCAGAGGTGCGAAGCTCCCCAAGCCTCACAGAGTAGACGGGACACAAGAGCTCTCTGGGTGTGTTTTATGAGGCACCGATTCTAATCACCGATTTCACCCTCACGACCAGATCTTCTACCAAAAGCTAACAACATCACATTGAGAGTTAGGGTTTTGAAGTACATATTTTAGGAGTGACACAAACAAGGCGTCCACAGCAAACCCTTACCACATAGACACAAACACCATCAGTGAGCTATTAGCACAACAAATAGAACAGCGCATTCAAAAGACAGTCCACCAAGACTAAGTGGGATTTCCCCAAAATGAAAAGGTGCTTCAACACAAGACAGTCAATGTGACACACCACACCGATATGAAAAGAAGTGACGTGATCATCTCTACGAACAAGGAGAAACATTTTACAAAATTTCATGTCCTTGGGACCAGCAGTTGGCGTAATGGCTATGTCGCTGGGCTCCCACGTAGTTGACCGTGGTTTGAGTCCCAGACCTGGTGTCTTAAACTCACACCGGGCACATGTGTGTGCATGCCCAAGATCCCAAGAGGAGCATGGAGGAGAAGGGACTGCGGCGTGGCCATCCTCCTGGCGGGTGATTTCTGGCTTTCTGTCCCTCTGTCTCTCTCTCTCTGGTGAGTGCAAGGCCTGTAGCAAAAAACCTCTCAAAAAAAAAAAAATGTCCTTTTGCCATACACTTGGGCATAAAAGGGTGTTCTCGACATGAATAGAGCCATAAATGCAAAGTCCACAGCTAACATCATATCAAGAGTGAAAGACTAAGACCTTTTCCCATAAGAGCAGGAAGGAGGCCAGGAAGCCCACACTTACCACATCTATTGAACACCATACTGGAAGCTGGAAGTTCTAGCCAGAGTAGTTTGACAAGAAAAAAGAATAGAAAGAATTTAAGCTGGCAAAGAAGTAGTAAAGTTATCTCTATTCACAGATGGCAAGATCTTAAATGTAGAAAACTGAAGATACTGTACATCCAAAGAAAAAAAGCAAGCCCCAGGACCAGCAGATGACATAATGGTTACGTCACTGGATTCCCACATGGTCGACCATAGTTCGAGTCCCAGACCTGATGGCTTGAAATTCACACCAGGCACGTGTGTGTGCATGACCAAAATCTTTAGAGGAGAATGGAGGAGAAGGGATTGTGGCATGGTCATGCCACCTGGGGGGTGATTTCTCGCTTTCTGTCTCTCTGGCGAGCACATGCACTCTATGGCAAAAATCTTTTTATGACTCCCCCCCCCAAAAAAAAAAATTGTTAGAGCTAGTAAGTGACTTAGACAAAGTAGCTGGATATGAAGTCCACACATAAACCTCAGTTTTATTTCTATATACTTCTGAAGAATCTGAAAAATAAATTAAGAAAACACTTCTATTTAAAATGGTATCAAAATGAATACAGGGCCAGCAGGTGGCATAGCGATTAAGGCACTGAACTCCAACATGTTTGACTGTGGTTCGAGTACCGGACCCAGCAGCTTGAAGCTCACATGGGGAGCATGTGCATGTGTACCCAAAATGCCGAGAGGAGAATGGAGAAGGGACTGAGGCAAGGCCATCCCCCTGGGGGGTGATTTCTCACTTTCTGTCTCTCCAGAAAACACATGCACCCTACAGCAAAAATCTCTCTTAAAAAAACAAAACAACACCTGAATAGGTAAGAATCAACCAAGGAGCCGAAGACGAGACTTATATACTAAAAACCAAGGGACGCTGACAGGAGGAATCAAAGGTCTACACAGATGAAAAGGCATCCATGTTCATGAACCAGAAAACACAGTGTTTTGGTGACGATGCAACACACAGGGATCTACACATTCAGTGTAGTCTTTATCAGAATTCCACCGGGGTATCTCTACATAAACAGAGAAAAACATCCTAAAAGTCCTAAGAAATCTGAAGAGGGCCAGCAGGTGGCATGGTGGTTAAGCAAAGTGTTGGATCCTACATGGGTAACTTTATGGTTTGAGTCCAGGCACACACACACATACCCTAGTGTGAATTTCAAGCTGTTGAGTTGACTTTAATTGCAGTTGACAACATGGGAGACCAGCCCCTTAACTACCACAACATCTGCTGGCCCTGTTAAACAGTAGAACTGTGATTTTTAAAGAGTAGAACTGTGTTGACCTCAACTAATTTAAAAATGCTGCTGCTTATTTCTGCACATAAATACTTTTATATTTTAAAAAAATGTTTTGAAAGTACAATTACAAACCTTGAATTAAAAGGGCAAATACATGGGACCAGCAGTTAGCGTAATGACTATGTCGCTGGACTCCCATGTAGTCGACCATGGTTCGAATCCCGGACCCGGTGGCTTAAACTCACGCCGGGCATGTGTGCATGCGTACCCCAGACCTCGAGAGAATGGAGGAGAAGGGATTGCGGCGTGGCCATCCCCCCAGGGGGTGATTTCTCGCTTCTTTTATTTAACTTTATTTACTCTAATCGGAGAGGGACGGGGGTGGGGGCGGGGTGGGGAATGAGAAAGCCGCCAAGTCCAAGACATGAACTGTGGTTGGCCATGTTGGAGTCCAGTGCCCTTAACCACCAAGCCACCTGCTGGCCCCTATAAATTTTTTTTTAAATACCTATAGGACTAGCAGATGGCATAATGGCTATGCCACTGGACTCTCATGCAGTCGACCACGGTTCGAGTCCCAGGCCTGGTATAAGGTCACCAGGATGCTAAAAAAGTCACTTGAAATATTACCGTAGTAGTCCCCTCACTTCTCTTTTGAAAAGTTTACTTCTTCCACAAGAGAAAGTAGACAGGCACTCTAAAAAGGGTCTTCACACCTCCACCTGTGAGTACCCGTCTCATGCGGCCTGGGTGATGGTGCGCGGTGCGTGCATGTACACCAGGTGTGCATGGGAGGCAGCAGGGTGCACGCTGAGCCTTCCCGTGGGGGTCCGCAGCACAGAGTACTGCGTTGCTATTTTGTCGCAGGCTGGCTCTGCAGAAGTGGCCCTTATGTGGAGTTTACTTGCCAATTTCAGTTACGATTAACTATGGTCCAAGAATATTAACGGGGAAAGCCCAGATAGAAACAATCTCTAAGTTTAAACGGCACAATGTTCTGAGTAGTGTGATGAAACCTGGCTGTCTGGGAGCCATCCCTTGCTCAGTACACCCACGATGTACACTGCTCGCTCGACAGCCATGGAATGGTAGTGCTTGCATGGAACCCTTATTTTACTTAATAATGGCCCCAAGACAAAAGAAGAGTGATTCTACATATTTTTATGCTTGTTTTATTTTCTCACTATTAATCTCTCTCTCTCCTTCCTTTTTTTTTTTCTTTCTCTTTTCTTTTGGCTAGAGGGTATGCGTGCTTGCCAGGGAGTGAGATACAGAGGGGGAGGGAGGGAGAGAGGGGAGGAGCGAAAGGAGAAAGCACTAAAGAAAAACTAAAAACAGAAACCAAGGTCTGTTTGTATTTCTGGTTTGTTTTTCAGTGGCTTCTCCATCCACACTTGAAAATGTGAAAGCAAAGAGGGTGCCCAAGGTAACTCACACCGTCCTAAGACTCCTTTCTTGCTCTTTGGGACTAAATTAATCTGAGATGACCCCTTTACTATTGAGAAATCTGCCAAGAACAAACAGAAGCCTATCACTCCAGAGACTGCTAACTAGCTGGGCTGTGACTTGAAGGCTGGCAAGGGCACGGAGTGTTCTACACTCACACAGAAAGGCCTAAAGACTGCATGTGATCAAGCAATACTGGCTGCCCTGGAGCCTCCAGAACCAGAGAGCCGCAGGTGTGTGCTGCTATGCACATCTCTCCAGAGCCCTTTCTGCACAGTTGGTGTCGGCATCATATTAAAAGCAATGTTTAAATCAAACTAAAGATTAACAATTAAAATTCAATTTTTGCAACAGAAAAAAAAAAAAAGAAACCAAGGTATGAGAAGTACAGGTAGGGAGCATAGGAGGACGGTCTACTTTTCATTCCAAGGCTTTTAGGCCACCACTACTGATAGGACTTTCTGTGAGGATAGAAACGTTTTCTAACTGAGCTGCCCAATTTGGTAGTCACTAGGTACACTAAGCACTTGAGATATGCTAATAAAATGAGGACCTTATTTTACTTATTACTATTTTAAAAATTTTCTGTAGACCATGTGCACTCAACAGAAAGAGAGCGTGCAAGAGGAAGAGAGAGAGCGTGAGAGCGAGTGAGCCAGAACGCAAGCCACCAGGTCTGGGATTCAAACTGCGACCAGCCATGTGGGAGTCCAGTCCCCTAACCACCATGCCAACCATGGACCCCAGGACCTAATTTTAAATTGTACCACTATTTAGTTTTAACAAATTTAACAAACATAATCCTGGCTGCCCTGGAGCCTCCAGAACCAGAGAGCCGCAGGTGTGTGCTGCTATGCACATCTCTCCAGAGCCCTTTCTGCACAGTTGGTGTCGGCATCATATTAAAAGCAATGTTTAAATCAAACTAAAGATTAACAATTAAAATTCAATTTTTGCAACAGAAAAAAAAAAAAAAGAAACCAAGGTATGAGAAGTACAGGTAGGGAGCATAGGAGGACGGTCTACTTTTCATTCCAAGGCTTTTAGGCCACCACTACTGATAGGACTTTCTGTGAGGATAGAAACGTTTTCTAACTGAGCTGCCCAATTTGGTAGTCACTAGGTACACTAAGCACTTGAGATATGCTAATAAAATGAGGACCTTATTTTACTTATTACTATTTTAAAAATTTTCTGTAGACCATGTGCACTCAACAGAAAGAGAGCGTGCAAGAGGAAGAGAGAGAGCGTGAGAGCGAGTGAGCCAGAACGCAAGCCACCAGGTCTGGGATTCAAACTGCGACCAGCCATGTGGGAGTCCAGTCCCCTAACCACCATGCCAACCATGGACCCCAGGACCTAATTTTAAATTGTACCACTATTTAGTTTTAACAAATTTAACAAACATATGGCTTGTTGATAGTATACTGAACAATGTAATTCTAGAATTTTAATTATTTTATTTTTATATGTATTATCTTATAAATCTGACAAAGAAATCTGACAAAGATGATATTAAGCAATAAGATGGCACAAACTAACTATAAATATTGGGTTGTTGGAAAAGTCATGATGCATTTCAACCCAGTATGTTTTGCAAAAATACATCATACTGACGTGGAATCATTCCTAACTGGACTGAAACAGCTGAGGAGCTACGGGGGAAAACCTCTCAGGTCAAAGACGCCGACTTCCAGAGCGGCCTCACAAGTCTAATCTGACAGGAGCGTTCACTGCACCTTCGGGACAAGCTTCACCTCATGACCGCCAATGCCCAGCAGCCAAAGCTCTCCCACTCCTGAAGGGCACCACCACCGTGCAGCTGGCTCTTGCAGACAACATAATCTCTCCTCCTCCCAGTACAGCTCTGCCTCTTTTCTTTGTTCCTCAGATAGATCACAGGTTACCCTGACCTGGGTCTGCATCCAGTTTGTAATCCTATTTGTCTATTTTCAAATAAACTCTTTTTGTTTGGAGATTCGTGTCTGTATTTTGTTTGATTTTGGCAATCTCAAGCATTTTTTTTGAGAGAGACTTTTGTTATAGGGTGTGTGTACTCGCCAGAGAGACACAAAGCCAGAAATTACCCTACAGGCAGGATGGCCAAGACACAAACATTTCTCTTCCATTCTCCTCTTGGGGTCTGGGACATGCACACACGCACACTCTGTGCCTGGCGTGAGTTTTAAGCCGCTGGGTCCAGGACTCGAACTGCAGTCAGCTATATGGGAGTCTAGCAACATAACCATTGCTCCATCTGCTGGTCCCAATCTCAAGCATTTTTAAAAAGTATTAAGAACTTCGGGAACCAGCAGTTAGCGTAATGGCTATGTCGCTGGACTCCCACATAGTCAACCGTGGTTCGCGTCTCGGACCCGGTAGCTTAAAACTCACGCCGGGCATGTGTACGTGGGTGCCCAGGATCCCGAAAGGAGAATGGAGGAGAAGGGACTGCAGCGTGACCATGCCCCCTGGCGGGTTAATTCTCGCTTTCTGTCTCTATGTCTGTCTCTGTCTGTCTTACGAGTGCACGCGCCCTATAACGAAAACCTCTCCCTCCCAAAAAAAGGGTATTAACAACTTATTAAATTTACCCACTTCCAAGTTTCATTAAGAGAACAAGAGCAGGGCTGACCAGGTGGTGTGGTGGTGAAGGCCGCTGGATCCCCCATGGCCAACTGCATGGCTCAACTCCTGGACCTGGTAGCTTAAAAAGCATGCTGGGCACAAGTGCATGCATGTCCAAAACCCTGAGAGAAGAAAGGTGGGGCAGGGACCTGCAGCGAGGCCATTTCCCCTGGAAGGGATGCTTTCTTGCTTCAGAAGGCTCCCTTCTGTAAGTGCATGTGCCCTCTAGCAACACTAAAAAAAAAGGGGGGGTGAAGACAGAAGTGGGAGAACAGGATTAATTTGGAAATAAAATGTAAAATTATGCTGATAATGAACAAAAACAGCAAAATTCTTGGAAAAAAAAAAGACATTCATAGAACCTGAATGAAGAAAATAAAACATATAGCAAGCTGTAAATAAAAAAGACTGGTATGATGAATGACTGGAGAAGATCCAACATGATCCACACCCCAAGTGGATCCATACACTCCACGCTGCTCAAAGCCGATCTGAGGAGGGACCAGCAGTCAGCGTAATGGCTATGTCACGGAACTCCCATCTAGCCAACCGTGGTTTGAATCCCAGACCCGATGGCTTAAAATCACGCTGGGTGCATGTGTGTGTGTGCCCAAGATCCTGACAGGGGAATGGAGGAGAAGGGATTGTGGCATGACCATCCCCCCTGGGGGGTGATTTACCGGTTTCTGTCCCCCTGTCTCTCTCTGTCTTTCTGGTGAGCGCACACGCCCTATAGCAAAAACCTCTTAAAAAAAAAAAAAAAAAAGCCCATCTGAGGAAAGGAGGGGAAACAACTGAAAAAGTCCCAAACTCATCCAGAATAGGTGAGGAGCCAGAGAAATGAACCCATAAACATCGAGAAATGGGGACAGCTGCCTACGCCGACGACGGCGGCCCACAGAATGGCATCAGGACCTCAGAACCTCACGTGGGGCTCCACGTGTGAGAAGGGCCTTCCTGTGCTGCAGTGGGAGTGGATGCTGCACTGTGATGGCCAGATGGCCGTCACAGGTCCAGGTCTGCGCCCTCTCTCAGGCTGTGTGTCCAGGTAAGTTCCAGGCGGGTTAAATATAAATATGCCCCTAATGTTCAGAGAGAAGTCTAAGTGAACATCTGTAAAAGGAAGTGGAAGCTGGGGCCAGAAGGATCTTGGTGCTGGACTCCAACATGGCTGACCACAGTTCAAGTCCCAGCCAGACCTGGTGGCTTTCTAGCTTTCTCTTATTCTGGTGAGCACATGGATCCAACAGCAAATTAAAAAAAAATAATAATAATAGGGGCCAGCAGATGATGTCATGGTTACGTTGCTGGACTCCCATGTAGTTGACTGCAGTTCAAGTCCTGGACTCGGCATCTTAAAATCTGTGCTGGGCATAAGTGCGTGTGTGCCCAAGATCCCGAGAGGAGAATGGAATGCAGCATAGCCACCCTTGTGGGGATGATTTCTCACTTTCCCTCTCACTGTCTCTGTCTCTCTGGCAGCACACACACCGTAAGGCTGAAAAAATAAAAATAAAAACAAAAACTATTTAGAAGAAGAAAAAAGAGAAGGTCTTCCTGTATGGCTCCCTAAGGCAAAAAAACTTCTTTAGAAGGAAACAAACAAGAGGGTCTTTCAGTGTGGCGTCCTGGTACCTCAGCCTCCGGAGGGCCTAGGCCACAGGCCCTCGACAGCGTGTCAGGCTTTCAGGCTGAGCCAGGGACAGCACCTAGCCCTCTGCTGCGGCCTTGTCCTGCTGAGGCCAGCACGCCTACGCCCATGCCTACGCCTGCCCCTGCCCAAAGGTGGGCCACGTAAGCTCTACAGGGAGAGACTGAGCCTGGCAGAGGATATTGGTAAAGTACAGAAAGATAAGTCAGGAAAAAAATGTGAAAAGCTAATATAAGGTTCACTTGGTAAATTGTCAAAGATTTCAAGATTGATAATATCCATATCCTTGCCAACACTGGGTAACAGGCAGTCTCATTCTGTCCAGAGAGAATTAGGACAATTATTGGGTATTAACGGGGTAACAGCCATCATGTTGTGAGATCTGCGTACCCTTTGACTTAGCGATTCTTTTTTTTCCGGAGACGTTTTTACTATACGGTGCGTGCACTCACCAGAAAGACAGAGACAGAAAGTGAGAAATCACCCCCCCCCCATGGGAGATGGACATGCCACAATCCCTTCTCCTCCATTCTCCTCTAGGGATCTCGGGCACACACGCACGCGTGCCCGGTGTGTTTAAGCCACCGGGTCCAGGACTTGAACCACAGTTGACTACATGGGAGTTCAACAACATAGCCATTATGCTAACTGCTGGTCCCCACCTAGCAATTCTACTCTCAAGAACGTACTGTAAAAATACCATTTTCACAACAAAAAGTTACTGACTAGAGTCCATTATCTTTGCTAATTAGATAAAAAATTAAAAAGGGCTTGATCATTTTTGTGTGTGGGGAGGGAGAGATTTTTGCTACAGGATGCATGTGCTTACTAAAGAGACAGAAAGACAGAAAGCGTGAAACCATCCTCTCCCCCCAACGGGGATAGCCACACTACAATCCCTTCTCCTCCCAGGATTTTGTGCACCCACCACCCATACCTGATCTGATTATCAAGCAGCTGCTGGGACTGAACTGCGCTATCAGCCATGTGGAATCCATCGCCTTAGCCTCCATGCCACCTGCTGACTCCCACCTTCATTTCTCTCTCTTTCCTTATTTAAGAAAGATTTCTGCTATATGGCAGGAGCCTTTGTAGGAAAGACGGAGAGACAGAAAGCGAGAAATCACCTCTCAGGCGGGATGGCCATGCCACATCCTTTCTTTAGAGATCTTGGGCACAGAGACATCCATGGGACTTGCAAACCTCCAGTCGGGAACTGGAATCTGGGTCGACCATGCGGAGGTCACCATCCTAACCATTAGGCCATGTGCCAGCCCCATGCACCTTCATCCCCTTAGGGCAGCAATCATCAGACAGAACCAAAGGCCTTCCCCTCTGAGCGGTTAACTAGGCGGAAGGACAGGAAGCCCGGGAGAGAGGCTGTGCACAAACGCATCCAGACCTTACCCGAATTGCTTTCAGCCCATTGGACACTCTGTTTTCTTCCACGACAGCGATGACTTCCTGCCCCACGTTCAGAAGCACTTTGCTAGTCACCGCCTCATTGGAGAAGTAGATCAGGTCGTCAATCATGCCGTAGTCGCTGCAGTAGCGGGTCACCACGCCCCGCACGGTTTTCAGATTGGCGTCGCCTGCATGGACAAGCACCGAGTCGGCCGACGCCCACGGACAACGCCCGCCGCCAGGCCGTGGGACCGGGGCCTTTTCCCGAGTGGCCACCACGAGCGCCGCCGCGTCCGAGCGGC